GAACAGAGGAGGAACATGATAGCTGGTTAACATGAGAGAAGACTAGAGGAGTAGGAGGAAGAGGAGTAATGGGAGAAGGAGGAGTAGTAGGAGGAAGAGGAGTAGGAGGAGGAGGGGGAAGAGGAGAAGGAGGAGTAGTAGGAGGAGGAGGAGGAGTAGGAGGAGGGAAGCAGGAGGAATAAGAGAAGGAGGAGTTGTAGGAGGAAGGGGAGTAGGAGTAGCAGGAGAAGGAGGAGGAGTAGAAGGAGGAGTAGGAGAAATAGGAAGAGGAGGAGAAGTAGATAACAAGGGAGGCTCATTATACCTCCTTAACTAAGATGGGTGGAAGACAGTATTACATCCGGGTTGGGAGTAGTTAGTATGTGGTCACGTGTGTGTGTGTGTGTGTGTGTGTGTGTGTGTGTGTGTGTGTGTGTGTGTGTGTGTGTGTGTGTGTGTGTGTGTGTGTGTGTGTGTGTGTGTGTGTTGCTCCTACACAGTCGTTAACCTTATATGTAGTGCTGTGGGCTGACTCATTACGCTATATACCTCAGTAAAACCAACAGCTATGGAGGGTACACGGGGGGAGGGAGCGGTACACGGGGGAGCGGTACATGGGGGAGGGGTACACGGGGGAGCGGTACAAAGGGGCGCGTATACAGGGGAGCGGTACACATGGGAGCGTATACAGGGGAGCGGTACACAGGGGAGACGGTACACGGGAGGATAGCAAACACCGCCGTCCACGTTTGTTTGTCTTGTCTTAGGGCTGAGTACAGGGTCGGGATTTTCATTACCTAACCTAACCACCGCAGCTAGTATTAGGGTGGTTAATCTTAAGGTGAAATAAGCTTGGAGGGTTAATATTAAGGTGAAATAAGCTTGGAGGGTTAATCTTAAGGTGAAATAAGCTTGGAGGGTTAATATTAAAGTGAAATAAGCTTGGAGGGTTAATCTTAAGGTGAAATAAGCTTGGAGGGTTAATCTTAAGGTGAAATAAGCTTGGAGGAGTTAATCTTAAGGTGAAATAAACTGGAGGTTAATCTTAAAATTGAAATAAGCTTGGAGGTTAATATTAAAGTAAAATAAGCTTGGAGGAGTTAATCTTAAGGTGAAAAAAGCTTGGAGGTTAATCTTAAAGAGTGAAATAAGCTTGGAGGTTAATCTTAGGTGAAATAAGCTTGGAGGGTTAATCTTTAGGTGAAATAAGCTTGGAGGATTAATCTTAAGGTGAAATAAGCTTGGAGGGTTAATCTTAAGGTGAAATATGCTTGGAGGGTTAATCTTAAGGTGAAATGAGCTTGGAGGGTTAATATTAAGGTGAAATAAGCTTGGAGAGTTAATCTTAAGGTGAAATAAGCTTTGAGAGTTAATCTTAAGGTGAAATAAGC